CCGGGGTACAGCGAGAAGGTGTTGGAGGTGGAGAAAAGGTGGTCAGGGGAGTTTCTGAAGAATCAATTGGACCGCCGTTCCTCGGAATCGTCCAAGTCCTCCTACGTGGGGGAATACGGAAGCGTTTCCTCGAGGGAGAGCATAGGCGAGGAATACGATCGGAATACCGTTTTCGAAGGTGGGAAGGGAAAGTTCGACTGTGTGGGGAGGTCGATTAATTTGAACCGCGCTTCCGTGAAAACTCTAGCCGCCAGCACGTTGAGCACCCTCGACTCCGACTCGTGCCTCGAGGACAGGATCAAGTCGCTCGAGGAGGACATCGAGGCGCAGGAGAAGGAGGAGTTGGAGAATGGAAAAAGCGTCGGTCGTCGGGAGATAGGGTACGAGTTGTCCGATCTTTGGAGAGAGTCCATGCTCCCTTTCGCCAACGACTTTTGGAATCGAAAGGGCGAAACGTTGGAGTCGAGGATCGAGGATAGGAAAATCTTCAACGAGAAATCTTGCTCTCCGTTGGCGAGCGTCCGCGGGGATCGTTCGAGGGCAGACGGATACGCGACCCTCATAAGGAAGTTCACGATGGAAGCGGGATCGTCGTCCCGATCTAAGAAGGAGGAAAAGCAGAAGAAGAAGCTCGGGTTCCGCCGCCTTTTGCCGGGTTTCTTCTCGCCCAAGGATTCCCGAAAGGAATACAAGAAGAAGGAGGCGAAGGAGAGGAAGAGGCCCGACGACAGACACTTCGCCCGCTACCAGCAGAACGGCAACTACACGAGATCGCCGGATACGATGAACCTGAACGAGGACATAAAGAGGAACGTGAAGCTGGNAAAAATTGATTTACCGGAGGTCAGGGAGGCGGTGTATTGGCAACAGCTCAAGAAACTGGACGAGGAGCAACAGAGGCGTATTTACGAGCAAAATCTAATAGAGGAGTCGTCGTACTGCAAGGGAGGGCCGAAGAACTCGGCCTCGAGGGTGTCGGCCCCGAGACAGGGATCTGTTCGAGGGCCCGTGGCGACGGCCACCGCGGCAGGTCCTCCGTTACCGGTCACCCACGGAAATCCATCCTCGTGGAGTGGCAATCTGCGCAGCTCGAAGGGGAATCCCACGGGGAAGCCGCCATTGATGCAGAGTCAGAAAGGTCAGAACCAGCCCGTTCTGATCGCCCGCCCGCAACAGGCGATTCGTGATCGGCGGGACATGGTCCCCGCCAAGCCTCTCGAGTCGGGCAGGCAGGAGGCAGTGCAGAGGTCGAAGCGCGCGTCGCCGCATTTTCACAGAGGAGAGGCGCAGCCGGCGGCGAGGAAGCTCGAGGTCTCCTCGACCTACGAGGAGGAGCCGACGAACGATGCCGATGGAAAAGCTGCCCACCCACCTCCCCCGATATTTAAAAGGGGTAGCTTGATCGGCGGGGAATCGGCGGAATATGGAAGCGGCAGTAGCGCGAAGAGAGTCAGCTTCTCCAATCAGTCGGGTGTCGGTGGGCAGGACTTGGCCAGTGGAAGTTGGCCCACGAAACACGGTACTGCCCCGGAGCCGCCGACTCGAAGACATCGAAGCGAGGACAGCGTGTCCGATACAGACTCGGTATTTTCCTATCCTGAGCGCCGCGATCCCTCCACCCATTCCTGTGCGGATGTGACGGAGTACGATGCCGACAGACCTCTTCCGCCTCTACCCAAGGATGCCATCTCGGCGAACGCCGTAAGACTCGCGACCGGAAGAAGCGTTGCGTATGGAGATACACGTTGCAACGTCGGAACGGATCCTCGACGTGCCGTTAGTCCGCAGCGAGTACTTCGACAGAAGGGTGAGTGTCGATATTTTTTCTATTTTCTTTTTTTTTTTTTTTTTTTTTTTGCGGAGACAAAATTCACATACAATTCGATGTGTCGCGAGATTATGGTTTTTGAATCCGGTGTATCCGAATTTTAATTCGTGTGATTCTTAGAACGTGGATAGGTGAGACATGGTTAAAGATCGTACTTGCACACGAGCTATCTTCCTTGTTATTCCTCTCCAACGACCCGCAACGTAACATCATTTACGACGCCATAAATTATTTCACCGATCATCAATTTCTTTGCATCTCTTTATGGCAATTTCGTGCCAAATCAACTGCGTTTCAGTCGGGTCGTGATTTTATTCGGACAAGGTGCAAAGCGCGTGGCGCGGCGTATGACCGTGCATTTCAATGAGCCTCTTAAGGCAGACCGAGAGCCAACATCGTGTAAAGGCACGTTCTCGTCCACGACAAGCAAATCTCACTCACATATGTTTTAAGCCCCTATGGTCTCGACATTGTTTTATTGTTCAACGTATTTCAATATGCGAGTTTTCTTTCTTCCTAAACAAGATTTCGAAATCCAGTTGTATCCGGATTTGTCCGCTTATATAGCTGTCTACTACTAATTCTTCGCTTGAGGCAGATCTTGATGTAATCTGTATTAACGATGATTTAAAAGGAAGCATAATTTTATTAGGGTTCAAAAAAATTAGTTTTTATTTAGCTTTGTTTAATACTCTGTAAAATTTTTATTGGGAAAAATTTATTTACTTTAATGTAAATAGATATCTTGTTTTATTTCTTTTTTTCTCTCTCGTTATTTCTCACTCTCGTTCACGCATGCGCGAATATTTTAATCTTTCTCGATACATAACCGTAAAATATTCACAAATATCGTGTAATTTTTAATCCTTTTTAATATATCACACGTAAATATGAACAAATATATCATGTTATATTTGATCTGACGAAAGAGCGTATACTGTATTTAAATTGATTTATAAAAAAGAATAATACTTAACCTTTCTTTCTACTATGCAAATATATTAAATGACAATCGTTTATAACTGTGTAACGGTTTTCCATTACATTGCTTGTCACAGAAAGAATTACGATCTTTTAATTTCCTATAGCCTGTCGATCATTACGAAGGTTGAATCGTAGCTTGCAATTAACGAGAAAGCACAGTTGTCTCGCAATTTACACGACGCGTCAATTCGATCGACAAAATCGCGTTTGTTCTCGTGATTGGAACGTCTTTTGCGGATAATCTATTTTCCATAACTCTTTTGCCCGTATTCTTTTGCGAATTTCGATAAGAGGAAATATTTTGCGGAAATAGAAGAACCTTTGAAACGTTTTCCACAATACCGAATTTATTCATAAGTGGACTTGGCACTCTTGGAAATCGTAGGTTATCACGAAACTTTGCATGAGAATTTTCGTTCGATAGTGTTGAAAACTTCAAGGTACATTCTCATCTTTTCTCATCGATAAGGAAAGACTCATTGAGCAGAGCGCCCAATCTAAACGATCCGCATTTGAGATCAGAGTCTCGAAGGAAAAGTAAGGGCAACCGAATTGTTTGTCGAGTTTTCGATTAGTCGATACGCCGTTCAATATGTATGCAAATTAGCGAGCCAGGATGCAAATTTGAAATGGCCGATATTCGGAAGTTAGAATCATAGCGACGCCATGCTGAATCGTGTCGCGACGAGAGGCAACGAACCGAGAATATGGAACATATCTTGTTATATGGATTATGTCTACGGTATTATTCGCTCAAAGAATCGTTAAATAATATAATATATTGCTCCAAAGAAATTCTTTGAAGAATAGGATAGTCTAATTGTTTCTGAATAATAATATAAGAATTGCCACATGTGGATATTGATCGAAAATTTGAACGCAATACGATATTTGTTTTTAGTAACTCGTAGTGTTTACAAACATCGCATGGCTATAAGCGAGGAACGCTATCTCACTCGAATTCTCTGTTTCTCGTGTTTCTCTGTTTCTTTAATGCGCGCATAAAAGCGAACGGTGTCAAATTACATTAGTCAATTCTTGGAAATCCTTTTCGGTTATTCGGCGACTATTCGGCACAATTCGGTATCGGTCGGAACCGATCGTGGCCTTCTATGCGAACATTACCGTATTCCCCTTGCCTCTCAACCGTCCAGTAGGACTTCTTTTCAGTAATGCGTGGTACTTTCTCGAACGTAGACGCGTTCCATTTCCAATCGACTCGTTTCGAATATCGAACAATAACGCGTTATTTCGTGCCATGTTCAAAAATTGAATCGAATTGAAGACGTCCTGTCGAAAGAAGGTTAGTCGGTTGGTCATTGTCCTAGAAGCTTTATAGTTAAACTTGCGGGATCAGAAAACGGATTTCCCCGCGTGTCCGCGAATTTCGCAGGAGGAGTTGGGAGAAACGGTGGGAGGTCGACAGAGGTCGTAAAACGGTCGAATGTTTTCTGTCCGGTGAGTAGTAACGTTTGGGAGGATGCGGTGACGAGGTGGGCGTTCGGGATCGATCCCCGACTCCATTCCCGTGACGTCACGGAGCGGGAAGATAGGATGGGGAAGAGTGGGAAGGGACAAGAAGGAAGGAGAGACAAAGCGAGAGGTTTCGCGATAGGGCGGAGCGGGGACAACGTTGGTTAAAAGAGAGGGGTATCGAGGGATGGGTGGAGGGTACAAGAGGGTGTAATGCCGGGACTCGGGCAGATCCCGGCGACGACGTTCGGCGCGTTTTCGATGGTGGTGCCGCTGCTGTTGGTGCTACCGGCGTTGACGCACCTTGTGAAACGACGCGTAGGGTAGCGATCGTCGCGATAGTGGTGGAAGTGGTGGTGGTGGT